AGGCTAGAACACTGACCTAAGTAGAGTCAATAAGATAAAATTTAACAGATATAAGATAGAAAGTCTTACACTTAGTTTTTTGGTTTTTGGTTTTCAATAATTCAATTTATCTGAAAAATGTCTAGGGGTTCTAGAGGCCTGCAACCTCAATACAAATCCAGAGTATTCTACTGCAGCCAAATAAACTAATTCAATCAAAGGGTGCATATTAAGAGAGGAATAGATTTTGGTCCTAAAGAAGTGACAGTGCCTTTGTACTCCCCCTTTGAGCAGACAGACCCATGATTACAGTATTGTGTCACATTCTAAGTGCCCCATTTTAGGAAGGACATTGATAATCTGGAGAGAGACTAAAGGAAGGCGACTATAACGCTGAAGAGTCTCAATGTCAAACCATAATGAAGATGAACGTGGGATGTTTATTCCAGTGAGAAAAAAACTGAGGAGACATGAGAGCTGTCTTCAAGTAGTTAAGGATAATCATAAGCAACAAGGGTTCGACTTCTTACGGCTGGTCTCACAGCGCAGAAATTACAGAAAAACAAATTTTAGCTTGATGTAAAGATAAAATTTGCTAATTAGAGTTATCCCAAAGGGTAATAGACAGCCTCTGTTGGAAATGGGTTCCCCTTCAGTGAAGGTCTTCCCCGCTCCCCACCCCTAACCTCCACAAAAAAAAAAAAAGGCTGGATGACCACTGCTCAGACCTTGTAGGGGAAATTCCTTTTCAGGATTGAATTAGGTGCTTCTGAAATTCTGTGATTAAGACTCCTTCCTTCCTTTTGGAACCAGTTCAAGATATTTCTTTTCTTAGGAGGTAGGGTATTTTAGCGGAAAGAACCCTAGCTTTGAACTTAAAGACATGGATTTTAAACCTGGTTCTGCTACCTATGTGGCCCTGACCAAGTCATTTCCCTTCTCTGGGATCCAGTTTCCTCCTTTGAAAAATGTGGGGGTTATATCTATAAGGGATGATATATGAAAATCATCACAGAAAAATGCTCATATTTCACAGAGAAGAGATGGAGGATCAGGAAAGGAAAATGACTTTCCTAAGGTCACATAAGTAGTATAGTGAGTGGCAAATGTAAGATTTGAAATCAGGTCCTGTGGCCCAAAATGCTATGATTTCTCCGCTATGACCAGGCTGCCTAGGCTGTGTCTAATGCTATAGATGTGCCATTATAGCTCTTAATTTCATAATTGTATAAATTATATCTTCCCTGATTAGCCCCTCCAAATATTCCTTTATTCTTAGTCTCTGCTCACAGCTTATAGACACACTTTATGCAGTCTAGAATTTCTTCATGTGGTTTTTATAACTGATTCAGTTAGTGAAATCCATCCATTGTCTTCTCCCCCCCCCCCCAATTAGCATTCCTTTCATGTAAGGACCCTGTTTTCCATTTCCTTTGTTCTCCCTCCTCTCACCTCTCCCTCCTTCAAACCTCCCAGCACCTAGTCTAGGGCTGTACACACAGTTAATAACTGTTCCTTGAGTAAGTCCTGATATTAAAATGACTTTCCAATTTAGGAAAGTATTTGGGAACATTAAGATAATCAGTTACAGCAAGTTGCTAACTTGGGAGAAAGAGGAAAAACAAGTTCCCCGTCAAAATAGGATTGTTTCCAAGCAAATTAATGCTCTCTTTCATGGACACAGTGTCTTTCATGTGCTTCATAAATGATTGTTAGGTACTTCTCTCCTTTCGTTGGAGAGGAAAGGATTTGAGGGATAGAATGTTGCAAACACCATCAGAATCAGTCTTTTATGAATTTTGCTTACAGTTTTTCATTGGTACAAGGAAAAGAATTCATTGGGAGTATATATAGAAATTACTGTGATATAAAAACAAAAGGCATCAATAAAAACTTTAAAAAAAATAAAATGACTGTCAACTACCTATTTCCAGTTTGAACCTCTTGCTGGAATTTCCCTATTTCTAACTGCCTACTAGCTCTATCCAACTGGCCCTCTTGCCAGAACCTCAAACTCACCATGTCCAAAAGAAGAACTCATCCCCTTGCCCCTAAACTAACTTCCCTCATTTCTGTTACTGAAATCTCCATTCTCCCCGTCTCCTACATTTTGAAACCTGAATCCATCTTTGAGTCTCCCTTGCCCCCTCCCCACACTGTCACCAAATCCTACAAATTCCACCCAGAAAATATCTCACATCTGTTCCTCTATTGGTCTCCAGAACCACCCTGCTAGTCCAAAACCTCACTAATTATTGGGTGGAAAAGTCCAAGTGATATGCTGCCTCTACCCTCTCTTTTTCAGTCCAGTCCCACCTACTACACTACCAGATCAGTGTTCCTAAAGCACAGATCTGACATGACTTCACTGATCAGACATTCACTGGCTTGCCACAGCCCACCAAATAAAAGTCCAAATTCCTTAGCCTGACATTCACACACTACAATTTGACTTCAACGTACCTTTCCAGCCTTCTTGTTCACAATTCCAATTCAGGGGGAAGGAGTACGGTGTAAGGATAGAGAGCTGTTCCCTGAATCAGGGAGACCTGGGTTTAACTCCAGCCTCTGACAGAAAACTAGAAGTGTGACCCTTGGCAAATTACTTAACCTCTCCATTTCCAGGGGCAACGCTCAAGACTCCAAACTGCATCTGCATTCCTTACCTAGAGGTGCTAGGTCTGCATACATACAGGTCTGCAAAAATACTCACATAACCGATGGTCCAATCAAACTAGTCTTCTTCACCCCTACAAATTCGGTAGACACGTTGCCACCTCCCTAAACTTGCTCTCATTTTCTATAGTAAGTAGACTCTGCTCTCTCCCTCATCCACAACTCCCCACCTAATTAACAACCTCTAAAGGAGATCATAAAGCCCATCTCCTCAACAAAACCTTCTCGATTTTCCATTTCCTTTAGAAAGGAAAAGTGTCTGGCATCTTATCTCTGAACATTCTTCACAACCTGCAGCTCCAATCCTCCCTGCTTGGGTAAGATTGCAAGCTTCCAGAAGGCAGGAAATGAGCCTTATCTTTATAGCTCCCACAACATCTGGAAGAAGAATATTAGGCACTTAATAAATGCCAATTTCCCTTCCACCCAGCACTCATCCCCAATCTTTGTCCAATAAAATCTTACCCTCTCTTTCAAGGCCCACCAAAAAAAAAAAAATCGACCTCCTTTCCCCAAAACTTTCCAAGATTGTCCCCCAGCTATTACAAATGCTCTCTCGTCTGAATCTCTATAGTATTCTACCCATCCCAATCTGGTTTATAATCCAACGATTCCCAGACTTTTCTCCCTTACAAGACTGTAAACACCCAGATAGCACAAACCCTGTCTGTTAGAGAAAGAAGTGTGGAGATCACCCAATACAAAGCCATGTTAAACACGAAGAAACCGAGTCGCTGAGAAGGAAAGTAACTCGCCCAGTCATAAAGTATTAAGTGGCAGAGCGCAAATTCAAACGCAAGCTTTCTGACTCATCTTTCCATCCCCTGTCCCACTCCCAACTCCAACCCCTACCTCCCACAGGGTTTAGCAGTGCCTTTGGCATGTTCAATTATTTATTATTAATTAGTAGTATTGTTTATTGATTGAATGAATGAGTCCTGATAAACTGTCAGTTCCTCAAAGGACTCAGATGTGTACAAACTGGGCAGCCTGTCAGGTGCCATTAGGTTTTCCTGCCAAACCCTCCGAGTTCAGTAAACTCAGTTTGCAACGCTCCAGCTGCCTTAGACTTAAGGGTCAAACAAATATAATACACACTTTCCAAAAGACGGACTGTTAGAGAAAGTTTCAGCCCCAGTAAGGGTGTGTGTGTGTGGGGGGGCAGACATGGCTTTCAAAATTAAAAGTGGATGTGGGTGGGAGCGGGTTCTCCCCCCCCCTTTTAAATCTAACGGAAGAAATCAAAATACGTCGGAGCAAAGGAGCTCTAGCCCTACCAATAGCGCTCGGCTCTCCAGTCCTAACCTCGGCATTAAACAGGAAATGTACGAATCCAGGGGGCTGTCTTCGGGAGCAGAGCGTGGAGGAACGGTGCTGGTCCGCTAGCTGCCTTCGCCCTGCCCGCCGGCTCTCAGTTCAGAGCCCAGTAAAGGAACAAGAAAACCTTTGAGTTCAAACCCCTAGCGCTACAGAGGAATAAACTGAGGTTCGTGGTGGGGGGAGGGGGGAGAACTTGCTCAAGATCGAGGACTAATGAATGGTACACAGACTCACTGGAACCCAGGTCTCCGGCTTCCCAGGCTGGCGCTCGCTCTCCGTGGTAGGGACCACGGTCAAAGCACGGATGGACAGAAGACAAGCGGCCTTTACTGAGCGAGGTCCAACCCCCCTTCCCAGGGCCGACGGATCTGCGAAGTCCACCCTCCCCGCCCCCAACACACACACACACACACGTTGACATACACACACACACACGCATGCATACGCTCCACCAGGCAGGAGGGCAGAAACTACCCATTCGCTGCTTGACGGATACTCATGTCATCGTCCCAGTTTTTTCCATGTGCTGCTTCGGGACAAGGGAGGGGGCCGGGAGATGCCGGGGCGGGAGGCGGCGGTGGAGAGAGAAAGAAAGGGACCTTTTTAACCGCCCCCCCTCCCCGCCTTTGTGTTCCTGCTGTCCGGTCTACCGGGAACTTCTAGTTAATGACACTTTGCTGGAGGCCCTAAGGCAAACCCGGGCTCTCAGGAACAAGTTCCTTTTTCCCTTCTTTTCTGGCTATTAAAAAAAAAAAAAAGGCAACCCCGGCTCTCTCTGGAGCCAGCTCCCCAGCCCGCGCGCCCCGGAGCGCGCGCGCACGGCAGTACAACACACACGCACACGCACCCACATCCACATCCACACACCCTGTCCCAGCTAAGGCAAGCTGCTCGAGTCTGAGCAGCGGGGTGTTTCCCAGCGGGAGCCTCAGGGACAGGGGCCAGAGGCGAGCCCGGTGGAGCGAGCCCACCGGACCGGGAGGGGCAGGCTGAGCTGGGCAGGAGAGGGAGCCCTGAGCGCTTACCTCAGCAGCTCCGCGTCCTTCCCGCAGGTAGCGAGCGGAGCCTCGGCGATCCCGATTTCCTAGGACCCAGCCGCCGCAACAATGGGGAGGAGGGAAGGGGAGGGGAGGGGGCGGGGGCGCCGGGAGCCGCTGGGCTGGCCGGGCCTCAGAAGAGGAGGAGAGAGAATGGAGGAGGAGGAGCTGCCGGCTTCTGGGGAGGGAGGGGTTGGGGGTGTGGGAGATGTTGGTGAGAGGGACAGGAGTAAAAGGGGAGGACAGAAAGAAAGAGTACAGGGAGGTGGGAGAAGGAGGGGAAAGGAGGTGGGGGCAAGTAAGAGAGGAGAGGAAGGGATGGGGGAGGGGAAAAGTGAAGAAGGGGAAGGGTGGGAGAGAGAAGAGGAGAAAGAGGAGGGGAAGGAGGAAGGGGGCGGAAAGGAAAAAAGAGGAGGAGAAAAAGGAAAGGGGGAAGAGGGAGGGAAAGGAGAGGAAAAGGAAATCTGCGCAGGCGCGTCCTCCTCGCAGCTTTCTCTCTTACGGGGCCCCCCAGCTCCAGCCCCAGAATGGACTATTTGCGGCGATGCGGGTCCGGCCGAACAAGGACCGCCCAGCAGACCAGTGGGACCCTCGACGGTGGGCACTACTTAGGAGAAGTCGAGGAGGGGCCAGAGGGGAACAAAGGAAGGATGTCCTGGGGTGGAGGGTGAGGGGACAGGTTACCCCACCCCCAACACACACACATACATACACACTACCTCAACTTCCAGGGGGCAGCCAACCAACTGTTCGGCCGCCCAGCCCACAGAACCCCAGGAAAAGCTTCTAGCCTCTTAGTTCTCCAGCTGTGCCCCAGGGGCAAAAGTCGGCAGAAGAGCCCTAGGAGAAACTGGGAGCTCACAGTGATGGCCCTGGCTGCAATGAACTGAAAGCTGCCTGCCGGCTCCTGGGTTCTAGCAAGAGGGTCGTGTTTCTCAGAATCATGGAAATTTTTAGACATCATCTTAGTCCAACACTTTCACAGATAAGAAAACCATGGGTTTAGGAGGGTGGTGAAGTGACTTGACTAAGGTCATCCAGCAAGTTAATGGAAGAACTAGGATTTGAACCCAGGATTTATAGCTGGAAGGAATTGTATAGGTCTTCTAATTCATAGCACCCTAGTTTTAAAAGTAAGGAAACAGTGAGCCTAGAGAAAAGAAGTGGTCACTCAGTAAGTGTCCTGAGGAAGAATGCCAACCTGTCTTCCTGATTCTCAAGTACAGTATACTGAAAATAATCAGGTTGGCAAATTCCAAATGTAACATACATTCCATTACATCATAACTGTCTTAACCTGATTTCCAGTGTTAGAAATATTATGGGTTGGGAGATAAGTAACATTTGAGAAATAACTCCGACTCTACCCAGATCCACCTGCCAGACTACTTTCTAAACATAATCATATTCCTAAGAAGATAAGGACCACATACTCTCTGTCACCTGACCTAGAAAATCTTTCACAACTTGGCTCATCCAACCTCTGTTTAAAGACCTCTAACTAGTAGAAATCCAGCACTTCTCTGAACAGTTCATTCTACTTTGGGGACATTTCTTGGATTTGTCTGGAGTCAAAAGCTAGTCATAGCCAGGATTTAGTCTCAAGTATTCTGAGTCAATCCAATGCTCTTTCCACCACATCTTGAACACCTTTCCTATTTCTCAATGAGTCACTTGAGAAATAAAATTAATTGTAGTATATTTATGTTTAGGCTTGAGCTCCATTTCCATGAGAGCTTTGCCACACTCTCAATTATGGCATGTGGGAACATTTTGCACCAGGACGGAAATCTGTCAAAAATACTGCACCAGGTTTATGGCATTCAGGGAATTCACATGAGGTCATGAAAGCCTGCAAAGTTCTATCCCCTTGATCTTAACAGAATCATAAGATGTCAAAACTGGTATCAGCCATAAAAAGTTAGAGCTGGAAAGGACCTTAGAATGTAGAGTGCAAAAGCTGGAAGGCACCTTAGAACATAGAATTTCAGAAGAGAAAGTGAACTTAGAAGGCAGAGTATTAGAGCTGTAAAGGACCTGAGAACAGTTAGAGCCAAAATGGGTCTTGGAAATCATGTCATCCAGTCCTTTTACTGATGAGGAAACTGAGACCCATAGAGGAGAAGGAACTTGCCCAAAACCAGTCCAGTGCTTTCTTCTCATGCATTTTGGGACAATTAATACAATGAAGATCAATTCTAATGTTAGTGTTAAATGCCTACTAGGTGCAATGCTTTGTGCTACAGTCTACTGCAAATAATTATAACTCCCATTTCTATACCTTTTTAAGGTTTCCATTGTGTTTCCTTTAAAATATCCCTTGAGGTAGATGATACAAGTATTAGTAGCATAGCATAGAAGTTAGGACCAAAAGGAACTATAGAAATCATTTAGTCCAACCCCATCATTTCACAGATGAGGAACCTGAGTCCCAGAGAGATTAAATGACTTGGCCAAATCCAACATGACTGATCTTGTGACTCCAGTGCTTTCAGCTACATTGTGTTGCCTCTTGCCTTTCCAGCTCTGACTATTTCAATTCAATGCAACATCATTTATTTGGGGGCTACTATGTACTGGGCACTGAAGGGTGTTTGTTGTTCATTCATTCAGTCATGTCTGACTCTTTGTGACCCCATGGACAATAGCGCAGTAGGCTCTTCTATCCTCTACTATCTCTCAAAGTCTGTCCAAGTTCATGTTCATTGTTTCCATGATACTATCTATCCATCTCATCCTCTGCTGCCCCCTTTTCCTTTTTTGCCTTCAAATTTTCCCAACACCAGAGCCTTTTCCAATGAGTCCTGTCTTCTCATTATGTGGTCAAAGTATTTAAACTTCAGCTTCAGTATTTGGCCTTCCAGTGAATAGCCTGAATTAATTTCTTTAAGCATTGATTGATTTGATCTCTGCTGTCCAAGGAATTTTCGCCACAATTTGAAAGCATTGATTCTGTGGTACTCAGCTTTCCTTATAGTCCAACTCTCACAGCCATACACAGACACTGCAGATCTTTGTTGGCAAGGTGACATCTCTGCTTTTTAGTATGCTGTCCAGATTTGCCAGAGTTTTCCTTTCAAAGAGCAAGAGTCTTAATTTCATGGCCACAGTTGCCATCTGCAGTGATCTTTGAGCCCAAGAATATAAAATCTGACATTGCTTCTATTTCTTCTCCCTCTGTTTGCCAGAAAGTGATGGGACCAGTTGCCAAGATCTTAGTTTGTTTGGTTTTTTTTAGTTTTTTTTTTATGTTAAGCCTCAAGTCAGCTTTTATATTCTCTTCTTTCACTCTCATCAAGAGGCTTCTTAACTCTCCTTCACTTTCTGCCATCAAAGTGATGCCATCTGCATATCTGAGATTGTTGATTCGAAAGATATTCTCTGCATGTAAGTTAAATAAATACATTCACAACATACAGCCTCCTTCATAATCCTTTTCCATTCTTAAACCAATCAGTTGTTCTATGTTCGGTTCCAACTGTTGCTTCTTTGCCTGCATACAGGTTCCTCTGGAGACAAATAAGATGATCCTGGTACTCCTGTCTCTTTGAGGACTTGCCACATTTTGTTGTGATCCCCACAGTCCAAGGCTGTCCACATAGCTGCCCTGATGGAGGATAGAGAGACCAAAGAGAAAACCAGTATCTGCCCTTAAGGAGCTTATCTTTTACTGGAAAATGGTGGAATGCAACATCTGTGCAGATGAATAAGAACAAGATCATGTGAGAAGGCAGAGTGCTGACAACTGAAAAGTATCATGGAAAACTTCCAGTAGGAAATTTTACTTGAAATTGAAGGGAGTTAACTATTCCAAGAGTCAAAGGTGAGAAAAGGTACTTTCCAAGCAAGGGAGATATCCTGTGCAAGGGTAGATGGGAGATTGACTTTTGAGCTCAAGGAACCTTAAGCTCCCCAGTTTAGAACAGAGAATATGCAAAGGAGAATAAGATGAAACACATCTGGAGAAGCATTCTAGAGACAAGTTGGGAGGTATTTTCAATGTCAAGCTCAAAAGTTTGTAATTTTTCCCCCTAGAACCAATAAGGAAGAAAATGAAGATACCTGAACAGGAGAGGGGCATGGTTAGATGTGATTAATGAAGCTTATTTTGTCAGCTATGTAGAAGATGGATTGGAATGGGGAGAGATGAAAAGCAAGAAGTAGAGGAAATTGGGACAGCTAGGTGGCGCAGTGGATAGCACACCAGCCCTGGAGTCAGAAGGACCTGAGTTCAAATTGGACCTCAGACACTTACTAGCTTCGTGACCCTGGACAAGTCACTTAACCACAATTGCCTCCCCCCCAAAAAAAAGAAGTACAGGAAATTACTGTAATAATCCAAATAAGAGGCGATGCGGGTCTGAATTAAAATAATAGCACTGTGAGTGGGGACAAGGAGAAAGATGAAAGAGATGTTGTGACAGTAGAATTTACAAGATTTGGCAACAGATTGGATATGGGCAGTTGTGAACAGGGAAGATGACTTCAAGGTTTCTAACGCAGGTACCTGGAAAAGGGGTACAGTCCTCAACAGGAATAGGGAATTTTTGAAAGGAAGCTTGGAGGAGGAGGAAGAGAATGAACTACATTTGAGGTGCTAATGAGACACCCAGTTGGAGATGACCCCAGGTAGGTGGTAGTGTAGGACTGGAACTTAGGAGAGAGATTAGGGATAGATATATGTCTATGTGTGTATATATATATGTATATGTGTGTATGCACACACACATTTGGGAATTCTTCTGTATATAGACGATAATGAACCTAGGGAAACAATTAAGATTACAGAAGAAAAGGGTATATAGAGAGAAGAGCAGACCAAGGCTAGAGCTTTGGGGAATTCTCTCAGTTTGGACAAAAGCCCAAGATCCATCAAAGGAGACTTTGAGTCAGGGTGCTGTTCAAAAGATAACTAGAGGGGGACATCTAGGTGGCACAATGGATAGAGCACCAGCCCTGGATTCAGGAAGACCTGAGTTGAAATCTGGCCTCAGACTTGACACTTACTAGCTGTGTGACCCTAGGCAAGTCACTGCACCCCATTACCTCTCCAGAAAAAAAAAA